ATGGGTGTGGATGGGGAGAGAGCGAGCTCCTATGAATGGGTGTGGATGGGGAGAGAGCGAGCTCCTATGTATGGGTGTGGATGGGGAGAGAGCGAGCTCCGATGAATGCGTGTGGATTAGGCCAAATGAAAAGGCAGACAGGGCAGCTTGAGTGAAGGCACTGAAAATCCAAAGCACAAACTCACTGCCATTGAGGGGATTCTAACCTCAGAACAGGGAAGAACTGCCCTAGTGGGTAGAGAAAACTGTCTCTGGCAGAGCAGCTGGTAGTTTTGAACTGCTGACCTTCACGGAGACAACTGCATAATTTGACGAGAAAATGAAAGCCACTACACTGTACACTTTAATTGGGAAAGTTGTATGGCACGTGAACTAGATCTCAGATACATTGTTCAAAACAGCAAACGGCATGATCGCTACCTTTCTTAAACTTCTATGCTTTGACAATACACACACAAACACACAAAAAAAGAAGAAGAAAATGAAGGCAATGGCCAAGTCCCCAAATGGTTTGTAAAACCACCTTAAAATTTTACCTCCGACATAGAATGCTTTTTAATACCCTCAGTCAGTTTCTTGCTGAATTTGTTTCAGACCTGCCTGGTAGGACGTCATGGATCTTATAAATCACATATGCTTCTAATTATAGCATAGAACTCTGACATATGTACATTTGGAGAATAGTATAATAGCTTTTCTATACCACGCTAATCTTGAAAATCAGGAAATAAACATGCAGATTCTGTAGTGACAAACGCAGAGAAATATGATGCTTTTCAGATATTATCCTCTGCTTTAATCTCACCATGACAAGAGCTATCATGAGAAAATACTATTGTGCAATAAAGTCTCAACTTACAGAGAATTTCCAACCCTCCCAAGGGCATTGCAGGAAAAATGTATAATCTAAATGGTAGAATGAGAGCCAGAATTTCAGAAATACATGTTATCAAAGGCAGTATAATAGATTACAGTGAAATAAAAAAAGAAAGTTGTCAGATGGACTCTATATTGTGAAGTAATTTATGCTTCACATAATCGACCATCAATGAACTGTTTCCATGTTGACTTCCATACATACCTGACACCTGATTTGGTCTATTTTCTTCTTTAAGTCCTGTACCTGGTCTTCTAAAGTCACCCGATAATGAGCTGCAACCTCCAGGGAAGCCTCCGACATGGAATGCTTTTTAATGCTCTCAGTCAGTTCTTGTTGAATTTGTTTCAGACCTGCCTGGTTAGATGTTATGGATCTTATAAATCACATCTGCTTCTAATTATAACATATCACTCTGACATATGTACATTTAAAACTATCACAGCATGTAGCATTCGCCAACCTTTCCTCACATGCATACATTCCTGTTTATCACCGAGGTTAGGTAAGGGTACCAAAGGTTGCTATTGCCTCGCCTAACCAGCCCTAATGCTTATTAGATCACAGGTCCAGGCCCTCTCCACTGCCCGTCACGGATTTGCAGAGCATAACAAGTCTACAGAAGGCTAAAAACTAAATGGCTGTGTGAGCTGGACTGCTGTGGCAAATCCTAGACTGTGTAATACGTTTTCTCTCTTTTTTAATTGAAATTCAAATTAACTTCAGAGTTCCTTGCATATTCAATCTTCTGCTAAAATCCTTCCAATGGGCGCTTGTCTCATTTGAATGGAAGTCATTACAATAGCCTTTAAGACCCTGTGTAACCTCGCCTCCACTTCACTCTTCGGATTCAGCTCTTACACTCCCCTTCATTCGTGCCATTCCCACCAGCTAACATTACTCAGAAGAGGGATCCAGCCGCCATATAAAATAATCACACATAGTCATAATCACCTCACGTTGGGAAAACTCATGTCCAAACGATAGCTGCTGAGACTTAAAATGAGAATTATTAGCAAATTACAGTCCATCCTCATTACTCATAGACTGTTTTTGCAAACTCACCTATTTAACACATTTTTTAACCCTACAATCAAGAGCTCCAGTTCTTGAGTAGTCATTTGCATGCACTGAGTGGCAAACAAAAATAAATCTCCCAAATGGACAAGGATGCCCCTGAATTAGCAGAAACTTTGTAGAAAAGTTTTATATACATAACAACCACAAATAATGAGAATTGACTATATTTGTAAAAATGTTCAAAGCAAATAATAAATAGTAGTGAAAGGATTAAATCAACTATGACTTTGTTGAAATTTACCACATCTCTCTAATCATGATCAAACAAAAAGTAAATACTTTTAAAGTGTTGAAAGGTCATATGAAGACATGATTTTGATAACTAAATCCCTTGAGGGAATAAGCTGCTGGACCTGGGGGATCAGGACCATCGTCTTTGGGGGACACCAAGGTGTAGCAGCATAAAAGTTCACAAAGACCATGTTGTAAGTAGTAATTGGGGCCTTAAAAGCCATCAAAAGGTACAGCCATTGGTCTGTCCCGGTGCGGAGGAAAGACTGATGAAATCCAAAGCCACCTGTAAACAATTAGTTCAATGGACTCATGGGCCACACAACACCAGTCTCCACAACCCTGAGATTAGACAACCTAGGTGGTGCCCACCAATTGCTTTGAAAAGCATCCCATTAGAAGGACCTACTAGACAGGATGAGAGAAACAGGTGGAACAAAACTCAAAACCCTAAGAGAGACCTGGCATACTGTTCGGATACAAACAGGACACCCACAGTTATGACCATTTAGTCATCATTCAGGCCAGGAACTGAACCCAACCCTGTGACAGAATAATCAACCCCTGAAGATCAGACGGGCAGCCTGCAGCCAGGGACAAAGTTCAGAAGCTAGGAGAGGAGGAAGAAAGGAAACAGGACTAAGGGAACTTGCAGTGGAAGAATTGAAACAAAGTGTGTACGAGTTTGTTGAATGTAAAACTGATGATTTGCTCTGTAAACCTTCACCTCATTCAAAATAAAGATTAAAAAAAGATGGTTTTCAATTTCAAGGGTCAATTCAAGTTGATATAAATGAAAATAAAATTACACTAAAAATATATTTTAAACTTCTGAGAGAAAACTATTACGACAGCATCTGAATTGCAGTTCCTCTGGAAAGGTTGAGAGGCAGCAAAGGTAGCCTACGCAAGTGCGTCCTCCTTTCAAAGTGCTTGCTTTAGGAGCAAACACTTCTGCTCCATCAAAAAAGTCAAGTATGATCCTAAAAAAAATCCAATGACTGTCTCATCAGTATAAGGCTAAATTAATAATAACGGTCTCTAGTTGTAACAATTGATCGTTATGTCACCTCTTGGGATTGTATAGGTGACAAGAGGTCCTGATTCAAATTAAAGCAAGGTCCCATTGTTACTTTCTGGACAGAAGGCATATTGCAAGCGAATGTAGTCAATACATTGACAGTTTACATGTTTTCATGGATTCAGCATGTCACCACAACCCTACGGCATTTTGAATTTTCTCCGGATACTTACTTCTCTTTCTGCCTTCTCGCTGTCGTACTGATATATTTGTCCTTTTAAATGAATGCACTCGCTGGTCAGCGCCTTAGCTCTCTCCTCGAGCGTGTGACTTTTTTTACTCTCCTCTTTAAGCGTTTTTACAATTGCATGCAGCTGATCTTGGAGATTCACGACTTTCCTTTCCTTACAGTCGGCTTTATTTTCTGCCTCATCCACTTGCTTTTGAAGTAAATTATTTTCAGCCTGTAGACTGGTTAATTTTTCATTTATGAGTTTCTGTGCTGTAATGGATTCACGCACTTTTTCTTTTTCATTCTGATACCTGCGCTCCATTTCCTTCATTTGACCCTGTACTTGGCTGAAGTCTCTCTGTACACGTTCTAAATTCAGCATCTTTTCTCGGAGTGTATCTTTTGTGAGAATGAATGCATTTTCTAGGCTACTCAATTTACTTTCAGTTACAGAAAGCTGTTGACAAAGAGCGTCGTTGTTTTCTTTTAGGTTAGACAAGTCTAAGCTCATTTTGTTCCGTGTTTGAAGCAACTCGTCTCTTGCCATCTGGAAGGAAAGGTGTAAGTCTGCTTTGGACTTCTGACTCTGCTCGTGATTCTGCACAGCAGCAGCCAGTCTAGACTGTAAGGAGTCCATTTCTGTTTCTAGTCTTTTCTTGTTTAATTTTTCAGTCTCCAATTTGGAGTGTAGCATAGCATTCTCAGCTGTCAGATCATTCAGTTGAAAGGCTGTTCTGGAGAATGTTTCCTCACTCTTTTTTAAAGTCTTTTGAAGATCATCATTTTTGGCTTTTATAAATTCAACGTCCTCAGAATATTTCTTTTCTTTTGCTTGACTCTGATTTTTCAATGTCTCTATTTCCAGTGTTAAAATGTCAATTTTATTCTGCAAAACGTGATTTTGCTGTGAATCATCTTTGTCTTTACTAGGAACCTAAGTAAAAGAAAGGAAGATATTTAGTCTACACTCAATAAAATGACATATTTTCATTTTCTTTGAAAATAAAGATTAACCTATATGTCTAACCAATAAAAACACTGCAATAAGTAGCTATCTGACTAAAAAAAAGCTACACCCAAACATCACATCTTACATGAGTATAAAATTCCCAAAACTCTAAAATAGAATTGAAAATAAATAAAAAGGAATTTATGAAATTAAAAAGGAAACCACGACACCCCCCACATGACTGATAACTACAGAACTAGCCACTCAGAGACCAGGGGAACAGAACAGGGGGTACCCTTGCCCTCCCCTCTCCCCATTCCCTCCTTGCCAGCCCCTTTGCCATGGCCTGGATCTCGAGGGGAAGGTGGTGGGGACAGTCTGAAGGAGGGAGGTCAAAAGAATGTTTCTGGGTCTGGTGACTGTCCTCCCTGGGGTGACCGTTCTAGGGTGGCCCAAGGATAGGCAGGGGCCACACAATCTCTGCACCCCCTTAAAGGTGACCCCTGCAGTCACGCCTATGAAGAGGGTGGTGCTGTGTGAAGCTCAGGCATCTCTCCATCTAATGGTGGCCTGATGGGATCAGGCAGGGGTCCTTGCTCTGCCCTCCCGCAGTGAGGGGAGCCATGCTAAGATGCTGAGTTAGTTAATTGTGCCAGCCTGGCCGACAATCACATGTGGTGCTGGTTGAAAGGCGGAAGGATAAATAGGTGGTGAAGCCTCGCCTTTCGAGTTCTCAGGTCTCTTGTTTTGTGATGGTTGCATCGGGTGCAGCTGCCTTAGCAGTTCCTTGCTTCAGCTTGCAAGATGGATTTCCTACAAGACATCCCCAAGGAGAAGCCGCATGGATCTATCCCGATGCAGCCCTGGGTGCTGGAGCAGCCATGTGGAGACCCGTGCCAGTGCTGAGATGCTTGTTCGTTCACTGACTCAGCTTTCCTCCTGCAGTCGGCATCATTGCCTCTGTTTTGTGAGGTGAAGGACTTTGTGGACTGGTGTTGGGTATGGGTTAATGTTGGACTTGTGGGCTTGGGCAGCATTGGGTTGGGATGTTTTCGTGATGCACATTTTCTTTGCATAAAACTCTCTCTTATACGTGAGTTGCTGTGGATTTGTTTCTCCAAAGTACCTAGACTAATACAGACGCCCACCTCAGGGACTTGGGTGGCTTGGGTTGGGTTCTTTTAATGCTGAGAGCTGTTCTAAGCTTAAGCAGAGGGCATTGTGATAAGAGTTGTATGAGCCCCCAATAAAATGATTTAAAAAAAAAATAATAAGAGCAGAGGACAGCATGGGACATTGTCAATAAACCAATTCTGAGTCTCAAAAACAAAACAAAACAAAAAGAAACCATGAGATTAAAATTTTAAAGACTCAGGCTTAGATCTTTCTGTGAATTATAAAAAGCCAAAAGATATAAATTAAAAGGACAATACATTTGGCTAGATTAAAAAAATCAGACTGCGATCTAAGTTTCTACTTCATAGTCAGTTATAAGAAGTACACTGATTGATAACTGGAAAAACAGTATACGAACCTCTTACACATATATTAATCAACACAAGTCTGTGAAGTACAAACTCAAAACATCAGCATGGAGCAGTATCTCCTGAAGGTCTGTCGCCCTTCTTACAAGTGTTGTTCCACTAAGCCAGTTTAGGGGCTTACACATTCTCCAGTGCAAAATATAAATGCAAAAGAAACAACCTATCTTAAAAGTCTAAATAAGGCAAACTTTTATTGAACTTTCTTTAGAAAAGTATAAGATTATGTGCTGATAAAATAAATTTTGTTTCTTTTTTATAATGCCTGAAATAAGAGTATGAAATAGAGAATATACTGAATTCTTCTATTAGGAATAAAATATTTATCAGTGACTTAAGACTAAATATGTGAGATGGCATATCATTGTTTTCAAAAGCCACTTGTATTAAAATATGACACCACTTGGAGGAAACTGTTGTTTTTCCTAAGAGTAAGGAGAAGACATCCAAAATATGATCTCTGAACTGGCTATACATTTCCTCTTTTTACCTATAGGTGGAATTGATAAAGTAAACTTCTTTATTAATATATCAAAGGAATGGAATCACTGCCCCAAAGTAGGACATGTGATATTACTAGTCAGTTTTATCTGGCTGACAATTCCTATGGGAAATGCTGTTACGACATGACTGTGGCAAATGAGAAGGTTACTTTACCCAACAGGCCCAAAGTTCACCCCTGCCTGCCCCCCTCAAAGATAGACCAGAGGGATAGAAACAGTTTACTTGTAGAAAAATGGAATTTAAAAGATAATAGAATTTTTCCATGAACTTTTAAAAGTCCTTTCATATATGCCATGAGGCATGTGGTTGTTTTTTAAACATTAAGTAAACAAACTGTTGCTATAAAAACCATAGAAATCTTAATAAACAAAAATATCAAAATGTGAAGCTATTTTTTCCTGGCATATTTACAACCTATACAGTTCTGAAGGTGGTATTTATTATCTCTCTAAGCTTTCCCCAAACAATTGTTTACTTTTTATAAGTAAATACGTCAAAAGGGCAGTTTGTCATCCTCTAGGGACCCAAGTCATATTTATTTTCAAGGCTCTTTGGAAACCCCAAAACAGTTGCTACAGCCTTCTGAACTGATCTTTCTACCTTGCATTTATTCTGCTCAGTAGATCCCCTTCTAAGGCACTGCTTGGCCTGGACCATTTTTCTGAAGGCACCCTACGGAGAATAAGACAGGTGTATTACTGGAAGACCTTGTCTGTAGCCATCTGCTTATCACAGAGACATGTTTAAGCCCTTGCAATAAACACACTGGAATCCTACCATCAATACTTTATTATTTATCCTCATGTGTAACACAGACACACACAGAATTGAAGATCACGAAAAAAGAATACCCCAGAATTCTTTTTCTTGTAAGCCATCTCTATTGCCTTTTGCTTGCAAAGATGATTGCTCAGAATTCCGTCTTGTAATATTCTGGCATTCTGCTCCTGAGAAAGTTGCTTCTGGGTGTCATCCCGTTCTTCTACAATCTAGAGACATATTGCATTACAGTCTGGTTTCACACTATTAAAAGTTAATTTAGAGCCTTAAAAGGAAGAAGTCTCTGGTGATAGATTTTATATCAATCAGATGATACTCGTGTGGAAACAGGAATAAACTCTAATCTTTCAATCAGGTCACAGCCTGGTGATGCCTCCTTTTGGTAAGGGAGACACTGAGAATGTACATTCTCTGTCTCTTGCTCTTCACTGTACTGCTTGCCTGGATTGCATGTCTGACCCTGGAGGAGGCCCACGCAGCAGCCAAACTTGGGAGCTGTGACACCCCGCCATGTCCATGCAGACCTGAGATCTTTGTGACTCTCTGCCTCATCAACATCACCTGCGGGAGTGTGAAGAGGGCTCTGGGCTGGGCTTTATGTCACTCTGTGGACATAAAATGCTCTCTTGTTATAAAGTGCTTCCAAATATATATATATATATATATA